TTTTTTTTTTTGATAAATACTTAATTGTGGTATGTTTGATACTTTGGTTTGTTTTTTGACTGTAGTCTTTTCTCCGACTTTGAACTCAGTGTAGTTTGGACCCTTAGAAGTATAATACTGTCTCATTTCGATAAAAAAAACAAAACCAAATTAAACATTGATCTATCGCAATTAAAAAGTAACTTTTATCATTGCCGAAAAACATTGTTAATGATGGACATTTTGAAAGACTGAAGTAGCTGTCAGATGAGCCCAAATTAATTTTATATATTATAAAATTTTTATGCAATCTCAACTCTTCCAAAACCACTTCTAATAGACCGCTATTTAAACTTAAAGCACTTTCTCAACAGCAGCATCCTATAAATACCTTCAACGACTAGAAAAACAGACGCATTAAGAAAAATTATTATATATTTGAAACCTAGCTTTTTTCTCTCTAAATAAATAGAAAGTAAAAATTGCTATTTTCTTACTTATTAACCCAAGGTATATTATTTGTTTAACAACCATTGACTAAAAATTCCATCCCAAAGTGTTCTATCCTTTAGCTTTAATGGTTGCAGAATTGTTTCCGACATCTACTAAATTAGTGGTAGTTGTTTTTTTTACTTTCTTCCTCGCTTTTGTCTTTGCGACTGTTGACGGTTCTTTCACCTACAAGAATTAATAATATCAGTGCTTTTCTTGCGACGGTTCTTACCTTTTTCAAATACAAATACACAAAGGAAAAGAGGAAATCATTTATACGGCAAAAAGACTTACTTTTTCTGGCGCTGATGACGGCCGCATTTCCACAGTTTTATAACTTTTGACGCTTTTATCATTCTCTGAAACTATGTTCGATCCTGTAACGCTCTCATTGTCAGTATTATGACCTGTACTAGAGCGCCCAACACTTGAACGACTCAAACTTCGCCTAACTCGTTCAACTATTCGAGTTCCTAAATAAAAAGGTACAATTACCGCATGATAACACTGTATCACTAGCCTTACCTATACATCTCTAGGGAATTACCCAAAGCACCAATAACACTAAAAATACCAATATTCTTCAAAGGATTTCTGCTTCCACGCGGCAACGTTGTATGAGCATACGGCGATTGACTTCCCATTAATTCTTCAATCTGGCTCAGTGAAGTGTTCCTTCCAAGGACTGTCACCGTTGTCGGTGTCGAGGTTCCCGGAATTAGAACCTGAAACTAAAAAATATCAAGCTGTGCATCATCATTATCCGATACAAACCGTTCCACTACATGGACAGCTTACAGTTTTGCTTTTGGTAGTGGGATTGGCATTTTTAGAACCTTCCGCGTTTTCAACCGACCGAGATTTTCTTATGCTGAAGATGGATCTTTTAGAAGAATTATGTTTCGATACCGTTGCTTCGATGGAGTCAAACGCCTTAGCCATTAGGCGCACTGATGGTTGTCCGCCTTTAGCTAGTTCTTCCCGTCGAATTTTATGCAATATGTTGGTTCCTGAAACAATTAACGACGATGCGGAGCAACTGTAAAACTATGAAATTCAGTTTTAATGAACCGCTATTGCACAAATCAACCAAATGGTGTAAGTGAGGCAATAAAGCGACAAACACAGGACTTGCTTCAATGTAACTCAAATTTACCTTTACTATTCGATTTTGGTTCTGGATTGCTGCTATCTGCAGATGAATCTTTTTCGTGGGAGATCTCAAAATGTTTTTTGTTGTCATGAGAGCCAAATCGTGAAATAGTTTTAGGTATGTAATGTAGGCGGCCATCTTTGTCATATTCGACAGTTTTGTCCTTATCTTAAGAAGATTAAAATTTTTCTATATAAATTAAAACTAAAATTTGCGAATTCCATGCACTATTCAATTTGGATGCAGCTTTTTTAAAGCTAAACATGAAGTGTGGCTACTTAGAATAAAAGTGGGTGGCGGGTCTGGATAGGTAGAGACTTTCTTTACAGGTGACGGGGATCTACCGTTTGAATTTGAGTCCCTTCCTGTAACACCGTCCTGTGCCAACGCTGACGCCACTGACAGCCACCTGAAATGAAGCAGCAATGAACACTGAGATAGAGACATCACAGAAATCCTTGTCCCAGGTGATAATAGAACTAAACATTATGTTATTAAAATAACACACGAAATAGTTTCTTAATAGAGTAGAAAAAGCGTTTGTTGAAAAATCAACTAATGGAGCGTTACTTGTATGTTGGTGCTGTGTTTTGGTAGGAGCGAAGTGACACCGAAGATTGCGATGTTGCGTCAAACGTCCCATTACCATCTCCGTCAACTGCAGATACATTGTCGGCTGTGCTGCTTGTCGACGGTTGAGCACCATATGAATCACTAATAAGGAAACCAATTATCACATGAATTTGATGTTTATATTGCAATTCAGAGGTTTTAAAACGAGTTTTAAAAAAGTCTGAACTGGAGAAAAAGCTGAGGAAAAAATTGAAGAATTAAAGAATCAATCTCAGCATCAAATTTCCTGGATTCTTGTTGAAAATATTAATATCAACTAAAAAAGAGTCAAAATTTTTATAAAAAGCTTATTTTTGCAAAATAACATTTTCTATATACGTAAAATCAAAGATTAAAAAATATAGTAAATGTGTAAAGTATTTAACACAATAATAAAGTTTAGGCCCTTATTCTGGCTAAAAATAATTTTTTTTGTTAACCAATGGAAGATGATTAATTTTGGAATCATTCATGAGTGGATCAATTTCTTACGGAATTATCAAACTGTCAAAGTTTTCTTGCGCTAACTTTCGTTCAGCACACAAAGCTTCTGTATGAGAATATGTTTGCATCTGATAAGGTTTTAAACTGAAAAGTATTCTTTTCAATCAACTAACAATTTTACTTCGTTTTTTTTTTCGCTCACACTCTCTGTTTCTATTTAATTAATTTTTGAAAATTTTTAAAAATAGAATAAGATGTAACTGGAGAACAGACATACTGTGCAGAATGATTGTCTTCATCTTTGATTGTCTTTAGCTGTGATAAGACGTATTTAAGCATATCAGCTTCAACAGCATCGAGTTTTCCCACTTTATACGACGGTTCAACCATCGTTTGTAGCTGCAATTTAGTTTATCGTTGTATAAATATTTTGGCAAAGTTAAATCTTTAGTTTTCAGAAACTTGTAAAGCTTCAAAGAAATTAATCAGCATTAATTCAGTTCACCTATTTAAAATAACAACCCAGAAGTTTAGGAAACTTGGTATTATTTAATTACCTGATCAACAATTGAAGTCAATTTATATTTCCTGGTCAGTCGTTGTACTTCTGACAAATGAACTTTTTCCCGAAGTTTTTCAATTTCTGCCTCCAATATTTCTTTAGCCCCCATTTGCAAGTCCCTTGCTTGCAGTAAATTACGTTGACTAATTTCCAGCACTTTGATTTGTTCTCGAAGCTTAAATGAGCAAAAAAATAGTATTGCAGCAATATTAAATGGCAAAAGTGTTTAGTAGATTAATTGCTGCTAACTTTTTTGTTTCTGACGCGCATAAAACACAAATTACCTCTCTGCTGGTCCTCTGAGATTCGTGCTGTTTTGTTGACAACGTATTTGAAAGCTCCCGAATTCTGGCATTCAACCGATCAATCTCCTTAGTGTAGAACTTCTGATAATCTGCATACTGTTTCTGAACTGCCTCAGCAGCTTGCAGTGCACTTTCCGTTATCTGAAACAATTTTTTCATGTAAGAACAACGTACGGCTATTACTTTATTTGATTGTTCAACAAAATACTGGTGAAAAATATGAGTTGACCTTAGAATTTTTTGTAACATTCGTAGTTGAACCAACTGCAGAATCTGTATCTTTTTTCTTCTGGAAATGACTCTTCTCTACTTCCCAAAGCGCTTGGTCAGCCAAATGAGCTTGTTTGTTCAAGGTAAGTTCAGCTTTTAAGCGGTTTATTTCTTCTTCCATTTGAGTTATTTGTCTCCTCTGTGAAGGGTGATAAAAAAGTGATCGATACTCAACTGGGTTATGTCAAATACAAAAAAATGTTGTTAGTTTAAGCGAGCTTAACTGTTTCTCAGCGTTTCAAAAAACTTTTGTAAAATATATTCCCTACCAGAATTTTTGCTAAACAAATGCTGTTATGTGCCTCAGCCTCAGAAGTATCAAAAGCTCACCATTTCAACACATTTTTGTGACAGATCGCTTTGTCGTTTCTCTTCTTTTTCCATCCTCTGTTTTTCCTCGTTGATCTTCCTTTCATAAGTACAAAGAGCTTCGCGGTTGTAATCACGTTCTCTCCGAGCTTGAACCAACTACAAATTTCACTTGCTTCTAGTCCGGAGGATCTTTATATGTGTGTGGAAAAAGTTGTTATTTTATCTACCAACATATAGCTGACCTGAGTATGCAGAGACTTATTGGTATCTTCCATTATTCGCATTCGACTAGCAAACTTTTGTTGCAGTGCATCAAATTCAACACTTCTGACCTAAAACAGAAAATTTTTTGTTCTCGTTCCGCAACAGCAAATTCTGACAGGGTTTCAACTTCTCACGCTAATACATGCTATAAAATGCAATGAGCTGAGATATTAATCTATTTTAAGCTTTTGCTCAAGCTAGAAATAAAACCATGTGCAATACTATGAAAAACTACGGTGTTAAAAAATCATAAAAAGCGCAGACTTTTTCGTCTTGCCGAACTTTATGCTGTAATCCTTCTTTTTCTTTTGTCCAGTCTTGTTTCACTTTTGATAATTCGGCCTGAAGATCTTCCTTTTCTAGTTTTAACTTCTCCAGTTCGGCAGCCAAATCCGCATTCTATAAGTCACACAAAGAATTTTGGTTTGCTGTTGCTTAGCTACAGCTCTGATAGATTTTTATATTGAATGAGAAAAGTTTTCGGAAATGTGCCGAAATCTTTGTGGAAGCAGTGGTGAATTAACAATTTTCTGACCATTTTTTCGACATTTGAAACCTTCTCATTGATACTGCGGTTCAAGCTTGTGTTTGAATTCATTGCCTTCTCACTGACACCGTCCGGATCAAATCGTATCGTTGATATCGTTGCATATATTGGTTCCCCTAAACTTTGCAATTCAGTTTATCATTAGTGTCAAGACTGTGTCTTGTTGGACAATATTCACAAAGTATTTTTTACCTTTATTGCTGATATTGTCTCCAATTTGTTTACGAAGTTTGTTGTTCTCTTCTTCTAAAGTTGCCTTTTCCTCTGACCAAAGTTTCTCCTTTCTGCTATGCGCTTCTCGAAGTTTCTCTGAATATGAAATCGTCCGTCAAAATCTTAAGATCGTCAATGTGTCGCTCAATTAATCAATGATAAGTTAAAGAGAGCGGTGATTAAAATTTATGCTTTATTACGGCAGTCGTTTGGTGCTATCTGCAATTCAGATGGGATAAAAAGCAAACCAAGATCCAAAATTGTGTCGTCTGAACGTTTTTTAAGTGCAGCAATTTCATTTTTTGTTTTTGTCCGTTCTTGCCCGAATTTTTCCACCTGTGATTCATATAGAGATTCCAGCTTTTTGTACTTTATTTCAAACTCTTTAGCTGATTTTTGCTCTGTAACAATAGCCTGAAAATTCGTTGTGTCAAATGATCAGTTGCAAAATAAGTTGTAACTGCTAACCCAGTTTGTTAAAAGAAGCTCTTAAAGTTATTTATGAACAAATACTATTAACCTGAATTTCACTCTTCAAATCTTGTAATTCGCTCTTAAGCTTTTCACACTTCTCATCACGTTCTTGAATCATTCTAGTTTTTTCTGTCAATGCTATTGTTCGAGACTCGATTAACTGATTTTGCTCTTCCACACACTTTTCTGCGTTAGCCAACATTGTTCGCAAATTCTTCAGCTAAAATCCAACTGTGACATTTGAAGTTTGATGGACAAAAGCGAGCATTTGCGAGGATAAATTACCATCTCTTTTCTCATAGATTTTAATAGAATAAGCAAATATTAGTGTAACTTTCAAAGTACTAAGCGAGAGAAGAAACAAGTTTTTGCACAAAAAGTATAAACTATCTGTTTACTAAGGTTCACTAACTTCATTTTCATAGATTTGTCGCTGTTTGTCGATCTCCAAAGTCCATCGATCCTCTGTTTGTAAAACTTGATTGGTTAGATCCTAAAGTTGACCTATGCAAGCATAATTTTACTATACCGCTCAAAATTTTTTAGTGCAATAAAATTAGAAACTTATAAATCCTAACGTACACCGCGTACAATGTTTGTAGACTGAAACATTAAAGTCGTAATTTCAAGTGTACCTTATTCTTTTTTTTATAAAATACGATTTCCTCCCTTTGTGATTCAATATATGCTTCATTTTCTTTACATCTTGCACAAACAGTCGTTTCGTTTGGTTTGTTGTTCGCTTCTTTAACAGGTGACTTGCGAACATAACTTGGGTTATTAATCTGTAAAAAAATTCTTACCAAACTGCAAGCCTCCTTAAGTTTGCAACTATAGAGTAGGAAACGTTTAAAAGATATTTTACAGCGTACTTTGTGCGATTCCAACAGGTTATGTACATTCTTCAGCTCTGACATAACCGTCGACAGCTCAGCAATTATTGCTGCGCTACTGTCCTTGGACAGCGAACGACGCCGTTCATCCTAAATCATATGCTCACCTGGTCACCTGGTATACTCTAATTTAACAATTTAGAAGCGTCACTTAAAGATTTAGCACAAATGACAATTCCAGTGTTTTTTATATTTATAGCGCAATATTTTCAGTAAAAATACTTCGGTCATTAAGTGTTGAAGTTGAAAATGATACCTTTTGCGCATTATCAATCTTTTCAATCTGCTTACAAATACGATTCGTTTGTGTTTCAACTGAGGCCAGTACTTCACAGCACTGTTCTATCTGAAAGCCTTTAAAGTTTTATCAAAAAAACGTTTGTAATGCATAACAGTCTCCTTCGTTAATTTCATCTTAATTTTACGCTATTAATCTCCTTTTGAGAATATCTTTTTATTGGTGATGAAACTGCACCTCGTCAGTGGTTGCTGGTGTATTACTGTTGCGGCGTAAACCTTCGAGAGATCCGTTAGCTTTTTCTTCACTTAACTGCTTTTCCAATTCTTCACATTTTTCTTTCAAAGCATCCTAAAGAAATATTCAATAAAA